TCATGAAGGGAGACAAGCTTGGGAAACAAGGCGGCAGCGGCAGCCAATTTCCGCAATCCGGAACCCATCCATTGAGAAGTAAGAACCCCTATAGCTTCCAGCTATTTGGGGAAAAACCACATCTGACCCATGCGGAAATGACCGCCGTCTGACCGGTCCGCTTCGCAGAATTCCGCGGAAAGCGGACGAAAAGGGTCGAACGATGCCTTCTCCAGGTAGTCGATGCGCTCCGCCAGGGTGGCATGGTGCCTTGGTCGATCCAGTCTCAAGGAAGAAAGAGATCCGTCGCAAGCCTTCGGAGCAATCTCGGAACCTCCGAAAGTGGAGCAGTTCATCCTGGAACCCTACACGATTCCCAGTAGTGGTTCACACACAGGTCCCACTCGGCCACTTCAACGACTCCACGGGTTTCGGCGTGTGACCTCGAAATGAGCGAGTTCTTTTCTTTTGACATCGAATGGAACAGACACATTCCGTCCTGGTCTCCCACACTCTCCCAGCTGAGATTTTGTGCTTCGCAAAAAAAAGGCCTGAGCCGGAGCCCTTCTGAGCTCCCTGGCTTTTCAAGGGCTTGCTTCTCACTGGCCAGGCTGCCATGCGCCTTCTTCAGGCTCTCCAAGGAGGCGACGTGAGCCTGTGGACGTTCTCGCTCTCGCGTTCTCGATGCTTCTCGGTTCTCGGAACTCGGAAGTGCCGATCCTGGGAACGCCAGAGTCTGAGTCTGAGTCGCGCGTTTGCCACGGGTAGAGTAGACGCTTCGGAGAGCTAAGCATCTGTGAAATTGATAGCCCTCGTTTGGAAAAGCCCCTTCCAGTGACATCACTGTTGAGCTATGTAATCCGCCAAGAGCACTGATTGTCAAGCAGGCCAAGTATGATACAATCGAAGATACTCCGCTGCCAAAGTCGTGCCTTCAGTTGAAGCCAAAAGGTCTAAACTCAACATGCCCAGTTGACCTCGCCAGTAGTCTATTCTGTTCATTTTCTATGGTCAACCAAGGTCCCCTCGTTTTGACCCATAGCCCATAGCCACAGTTGGAAAAACAAACAAAACAGGTCCCAAGCTCTCCCTAATCAACGGAACAACAGGACGGACGCACCGCGACCCACCGCGACGCACCTCCCGCGCCACACGCTCCTCCGAGACGCGGCCATGCCTCGTCTAACAAGATATGCGCCACGTGAGAACGTCGCCACGTGGCGAAGGCCGCCACCAGGTGTTTCACAAAAACAAACATATCGGGTACCAATCTGCTATAACAAATCTGCTGAGTCAGTTGAGTCAGTTGAACTGGGCGTCAAACGAAGATCTCGTGATCTACCCCAGATTCCATACATACTCAATGAAACCCATTGATGACTCCCCAAGCATGGATCCCGAACATGGATCTTTCAAAGGAAGACACGGTCAGTCGTTGTTAGATGAGGTCGCCCTTCACTGATTTCTTGCCAAGTTTATCGACCACTTCTAATCCAATCAGTCAGGAAGCAAGTCTCTCAGTGATGTCTTCTCTTTTGAAACCGTTGCCACTTGTGCGGCATCGTACAACCAAAATCAAAACCAAAAATACCTCACTGCGTTCATGTGAAGTAGTTAATTAGCTTCTTTCCGACTGCTTTGGCCACCACCCTACAGTCAGCTCCCCACATGGCGTCCATTTTTGCCACCGCCGCCGCCAACTCCTCAAAAACGGTCCGTACGAAAAAAAGGTCCGGCTTTTGCTGCATGGAAGAACACGAGTCAGAGAGGAAGGCTTGGACAACACCGATTGGGAGTAGGCAGGCTCTTACAACAACACCCAGTGTAACTCTACAACAAACGGGGGAGATTTCATATACTTTTTGGAATATGCAGGTAGCCCCTAAAGGGGCTACAAGCACTACGAGAAGGGGAGGTCAACAGAATGAAAGATTGATGTCGGCTGCTGTATAAGTAAATTATACATGCCATGTGTCGTGTCCTCTTTGATGTTTCTGGACTCGCCGGCTACTGGTTCCAGAAAATGTATGACAGGTAGTAGGCACAGCGATGATATGTACCCCACCCCCTTACATACATTTCCTGGCGGAAATGGCATGGGCGTGAAAAATCTTAGGAATCATGGGGAAACTATGGGAAATGCATCGCAGCATATTTCGTTGACTCACCTATCATTGCCTCTCAGGAAGATTTATTTCCCTAATGAATGTATGAAAGCAAGGGAGAGTAAACCGCCCTCAAGCAGGATTCGTTTTCTCAAGGAAATGTGTGCAGGGGAACGGAGGGGCGTTGATTCTCATCATATCATCGGCCAAGCAAAAAGAACATGCATCACATGCTTTCCTGGGAATGAGAATCCGGAGACGAGGACATGTACATTTTGGGCTGTGCACCCCCTCCAAATATGCATGTTACGACCAGATGATAACATACCGCCAATTCCCATCCTCACTGTGCACCCATCGCGCCCGCTCTCCGCCCCCAAGAAGTGTTGCTTGAGTCTTTTCATTATCAGATCTCCCAAGACCCATTCATTTTGTGAAGGTATGCTCATATGAATCTGCAATGAATCCTCTTTGGAGGTGACCAACAGCAGAACCCCACATTTAAATATAAAGAGCTATCAAAAATGTTAAAATAATCCTTCCAACTCAAACGTCGCCGCCAGCTGCGACCACAAGAGCCAGACACAACCGCCCCACCTGAGCATGCTTCTCCAAGGAGTCTCCCATGCGCTGCTCTAAATACCCCAGACGATCCGCCAAGGTGGCATGACTGGCCTGGCAAACCACTGGCAGCAATCAGGAAAATGCCCTGGCAAACTGGCAAACCAAAGTAGCTGCCGATAGCTATGGCTCCCAAAGGGAAATTCATCCTGAAGTACCACTTGTTTGCTCTTCTTCCGTGCTCGTCTGAGGTGAGAGGTGCTCGTCAGCGGTCTGTCCGCCCACCTCCCGAGCTCGCACGTCGCTGGCCAGCTTGGCATGGTTGGCTTTGTGCTCCTCCATGACCTCGCAGGTCTGTCTCGCGGGAGTCAAAGTGTCATGTTGGAGGTCCATGGCATGGTCCGTTCGCTCGCTGTGCGTCCGCTCCCTGAAGCTGTGGAGGCAGGAAAATGCCCTCTAGCGACGTCACTTCATTCATATGTGTATTACAACACCCGATAAACACCCATGGAAGTCTCTCTGGGAGAAGTGCATAGATGCTTCACGTGGGAGTCTTCAATCCCAAAAGTGATTTGATGGGTGTCCCATTCTTCACGCACAGGCCTGGCCCCGCTGCGTATATATAGGTTGGGTCTATCCTATTACCAGGGACAGTGGATGATGATGGTTGGGTTACAGGCCTTCCTCCAAAATAGTGATAAGACCTTTTACCGACTGTTACAGGTCACAGGCCAGACCCAACCAAAATAGGCGATGCAAGGTCTTGCCAACAGCCATGGCCATGCCTTCTTGTGATGATCAGCAGAGTCGCCCATCATGCTTTCGAGGTAGTCCACCCGCTCCTGCAGCGGGTCGAGTTCCGCTCCAGCGATACGAACACGGCTCGGTCGATCCTCTTTTGAAGGTCATAGTTAAAGATCTTCTGTAGATGTCTGCTGGAAGCAACCTTCTGGAAAGGCCAGGTGAAGAGAAAAAGAAACAAAACAAGTTTCCCTGACAGCTTTGGACCGACATCTCTGCACGAGCACCGGCGCTTGGTATCACCGTGACGTGCCACCCAACTTATTCGGCACTCCTTGAGGGTCGCATGGTGCATGTCAGACGTCGACTTGCTACTGCTCAGGTTCGCGTGGGAGGACTTGAGATCTTCCAATGCAGTACCTCACACACATTGCATGGGCATGAGCAGCTTCGAGCCAGGCTTGACTCTAGCTAAAAAGGAGCACCATAGACTAAACCTGACGATGTGATTGACTTCTCCATCAACCATAAGCTGTAAACTGTGCCGGTTTAGATTTGAGGGCTTCCCTCAAACAGAATGCAACAATCAGACTCGAGTCTCACAGTGGGGAAACCGGCTAGCCTGCTAGAAGAGGAAGCTGACCCAAGTGGTTGATTGAGACGATCCCGATGTCGCCCGACCCACAAACACAGCCTGGCCTTGCTTCTCACAATGGTGTTTCAACTCATCCAGTGTGGCCTGGCGACGTCTCCCATTTTCTGAGACTTGGTGGGAACCATGGGGGCTACTCTTTCATCCAACCGAGTTCGCAGAGGAGGCTCCGTGCTCAAACAGCTCACGTTTTTGCTGCAGGGATCGATCCAGAGTCTGTTGACACATCATCTTCTTCGATCTTACTCATCCAACTATCGAAAATGCCCGTCTGCACAAACAACCCAATGACAGTGAACAGGGCAAGACCTGCATAGGCAAGTCCGAGCGGGGTTGTGGCAGCTGCTGCGAACGCCAATCGTGCTGCTGTCCAAGCAGTAGCCAACATCGCCACCCAATAGACACCGACGGGAACTGCTCTGACCCCTTGACTGATAGGCAGTGCTTCGGTATGGATCCCAAGACCTTCGACCAGAAGGGCGCGAATCCATCTCTCACAGTTCTGGCGCAAGAGGTCGTACTTCTCACCATTGCACGGATTGCTCCTACAAAGCTGCAGGACTTTTTCGGGCGAAGTTCTGACCCAGAGTTCACGCCCACTCGTCCAGAGCACGTAGGGTACGTCTCCTTTTGCCAACCACTGCTCCATGGAAGTGTCCAACGTCTTGCATCGCCAGTTGATCCGGCCCAGTCCTACTAAATAGATTGGTGTGAGTTCAACCACAGAGTTCACTCCATCATCGAAACAAAAGACCACCGCCCAATGAGAAGCAGTCTTGTACACGAACACTTGGGCTGGACGCCTCTTGACATCTGCCTCCTCAGGTGACTGAGGAGGAAGTCTCTTTCCTGAAGGCAACCTACAGGATGCCATGCACAGAAAGCTGCAAGGCGAGGGAGTTTGTTCACAGATCTCTCGTCAATCTTGACATCAGTGATACCATTGTAATTCAGAATGCAGGCAAACGAAACAGAGCAGCTGAGCGGCAAAAAGAAGGGCGACGAAAAGCAAACCTCGAGCCGCACGTCATGATCATGCGTCATGCCTCACCATCATGCGTGGAAGCACCTGAAATATGACGTGCGTCTCTTCCTACATCGCACCACAACGCATTTTGAAAAATTACACCAACAGTAGACTGTTAACCCCTAACAGTAAACTGTTTGGGGAAAAATGTACAGTAGATTAGAAAAAAAAAATAACGCTCTGTCTCCGCATCCCCAAACAGGCTGGAAGGGCTCCTTTCACCTGGTGGGTGCGAGCTTCGGCGGTGGCACGCAGAAGTGTCGAGAGGAAGGCCGTGATGAAAACAAGAGAAAACGGGGCATCAGTTACATCACATGTTCTTGCGAATGGGAGCACCAGTTCTCCAGTGTTCCTGGATGTTTGTTGAATCCATGCACCAAGGTCGGGCTGGCAGGCAAAGAAAGAATCTTTCCGGACTAGATTAGCTGCTCCATGCGATGGAGAATGCCAGTTCCAGGCGTCCAAAATTCTAAACCTAGCCAGAAATATGTTCCCACACCTCGAGGTGTCCCAGCCGCCCATGCAATGCGTCTAGCTTGCCGTGCGCGTGGCTCAACTCCTGCGCGCGGTTTCGCTTAAAGCGTCTCATTCATGGACCACGTGGACGGCGTCCCGCCGGAGCGCCCTAGGCCAAAGCAGCAAGAAGTGGCAGGGCCCAACAACCGTTCCACAGTTTAAAAAGTTTTGGACTCATGAAGGCCTCAAGTCCGTGTGATCATCGTGCTTGCTGGAAAAGAGCTGCAGCTACAGTACATCTTCAATTCGTCCTTCGAATCAGATTCAAATACGGACCATCCACCGTCATCCACCAAAGTACTGCTTTTGCGGCCGGCAAGCCACAACGACTCACGCCAAAGTCGTGCTTGCGACACTTCGAAACACATGGGGGGGAACAGAACATACATACGTGTAAACACACGCACACACAAATTTATTGACATGCGTGCTGACTCGAATGCCACTCGCCACGCGGCAACCTAGGTAACCAGTTTCCTAGGAGTACAGGTGAGGAAGTAAAAAAGGCCTGAAAGGAGGTGGAGGTCCATCAAGTTCATCGTGGCCACCAACCCTAAAAGAAAACCATCGAGCGATTGAGCGACAAGCTGACGGCGTTCGTGCAAGTCTGCGGAGCTCATTAGCACTTTACACGGTGATGAGGCAGAATCAACGTATTGGACAGCTTTTGCCATACTTAGGTTCCCAATCTCCAAAAGCAGGTACGTCAATCCGGCGTCCCGGATTGATTTCACCAGCACACATCCAGTGTCTTCGTTGGTGCAAGACTGGATGGGCTGCTTGCACCCCCTGCTGTATAAACACAATCCGAAAGGATCCCTGTGAGTCCAAGGGTTACACACCACACACACAGATATATATATATATAAATAAATATATATATATATATCAGCAATCACATCATCACATCCCATCATTTTGACTTGACCCTCTCAATAAGATCGCCTCCCGGTCTCCTCCCGATGCTTGGCCTCCGAGTCACCGAGCGCCTGCTCCAGGTACTTCAACCGGCTCTCTACGGTGACCTAGAAACAGCGTAAGGGGCGCGGCTGAAGGTGGCGAAGAAACAGCCTGTTTCCCAGAATTGGAACGGACATTTGACAAACTTAGATGAAACCCCTCTAGGTCCTATAGTTTTGGAGGTGAAAGCCCTGGTGGCCTGCAATTAGAGGTTCCTGGAACCAATCCATTGGTTCAGTTTGGTCGTGTGGAATCTATATGCACATGAATCTGGATGAAGGACTCAATCTCATGAGAAACACGTGTCATAGCTGCGAGTTGTAGACTTTAAAAATAAAAACTTGAGGCCAAGGGGGGGG